TAGAAATACTTGTGACTTCCAACCCTTCCCCTCCCTTCCAGTTGTTATCGGTGTTATGACTTTTCTTTGAAGAAAAGCCTCTCTTTGCTACACTTTATTTTAATACCTACATTTAATGTTTTTGTTGGATAAGAATTGACCATACATTTGAAAGAGTTTCCTTTTCCTTTGCTGTTTCAGATTGTTAAATTATAAGCCTCTCTCTCCCAAATACATTCTAATTGCAAGGAATTGTTAGAGATAAAACTGAAAAATATGAATGTCAGAATTTAAACCTTTTTGTAAACAATAGAAAATTAGAAAATATAACTTGTAAAGAATATCTGTGGAAGAAAGAGAGCTCTATTGAAGGCACATGTTACAGGCAAAAAAAAAGAAACACTGAAGAAAGTACAAGAAAAATGCTTACAACTGAGAAACATAATTAACACAGATTACTCATTGAGGATGAAAATTCAGTCAACAGAACAATTATTTATCATATTTCTGTTCAGTTTTTAAATGTCCTCTTGTTACTTTTTAATAAGAGAACAGTTTTTAACTTTTGAAGACCTAAAGTGTAAAACTATGTTTAATTCACATACTTTAAGAATCCAAAACTGTGTTTAATTATCAGTTAACTAATACCAGCAATTCAAATATATGAGCTTCTTAAAGCTTGACAGAACAGGGTTTTCTAATAGAGAAAAGATAGTGTGATGCAAGACCTGGAAGATTGCTGTGGTGCGGGCGATACAAGATGTTGAGTCAGTCCAGAATTTGATATCACTTTTCTTGAGGAGATATGGGGAACTGGCTGGTTATGTTTTTAGGTTCAGGTTCAGTTTCTCAGGCTCAAAGATGTTGGTTAAAAAATTTGCATCTGTTCAGCCTGTTTCCATCTTGCCCATTTGGCTATTAAGATTTATCAGAAAGGGGTGATATCCAAGAAGTGATAAAAGAACTGATTACAGCAGAAAATAATCTGTGATGAAAGCTAAAGTGATGCTATGCTTCCTACACAGGATGGACTTGGAGGTACTTGAGAACTTCTATCAAATAATTCTTTTCTGGGCAAAATACATCTGCAGGTGATGGCTAGTCAGCTTTATACATTCTTGGAAAATGTGGGTTATCTCTCCCCATTCCATTTCAGGATTGGTTTTGTCACTTAAGTACTCTTGACCATGCTAGCAAATGGCCTGTTTTCAGGAAAAGACATAATTCATCTCTGTTGATCTTTCTGGATGTCATCATCCTGACTCTCTGGGGCCACGTACAGGTCTCAGAATTCATTAGCTCTGAATCTGTATAAAGCTGCTTCTCAGTTGAAGGAGCAGGTACACAGATATGCTCCTGGTTTCTTCTGTATCATCCAAGAATCAAGTAACATCAGAAGTCTGGAGTTCATTTGGCCCGTGCTTCTGGTTACACTGTGATCCTTCTTGGATAGCGGTGGCTTTGTTTGACTTACATTTTGCATTGGATTAATGCAATATGCCTTTAAATATGATTCAGAAATTGTACCCGTTGTACAATTCAGCAGTGAAGTTATTACCTAGAACTCCTTTCAGATTTAACATGGCATCTGTCCTAAAAGAACTGCACTACCTGTCTATGTACTACCAATCATACTTAAAAAATCTTGGAATGGCTGAATCCCTTATTGTCTCAGAACCAAGATACTTGAGCAAGAACTTTTCTCAATGTGAATTTACTCAAATATTTAGATTTACAAGAAAAGAGTCTTTCAAGTGACCTATCACTGCCAGAGGTGTATTCTCTAGTGCAGAGGTCCCCAACCTTTTGGGCACCAGGGACCGGTTACATGGAGAGAGGTTTTTCTGCAGACTGGAGGGGGCATGGTTTTGTGTGCTGCCTGCATCTCGCGGATGCGGCTTTGCTTGTTTGTGCGGCCCAGTTGTGGGCATGCCATGGCCCAGTACCAGTCCACAGACCGGGGGTTGGGAACCCCCGTTCTAATGTGGCAGCCTACTTTGGAATGCCTTTCCTGGAAGTCAGGATGGTACTGATATCTTTCAATGCTAGAGGAAGAACTTTATTCTCACATTCAGAGCTTAGTCACAGCTATACAATGCTTTGTTTAATAATGCCTCTCAGTGTTGTTGTATTGATAATTGTGCATTTTAAATAATATGTTTTACTTACATTATTACTTATTGACATGGTTTTACTGCTTTACATTTCTTTTTTATGTTCTATATTTTATTGTGAAGTCTTCAGCATAGTGGATAGGCTATAAATATTTAAAATAAAATAGAGCTTTGCACCTGTCCTGTGGAAGGTATCTGACTGTCAGGAAATCTCACATAGTTGCCACCAATTTCATTGTATGTTTCTTTTTTAAAAAAATTGGATTGCATTAAAAATGATATTGAATGAGATGACAAAATATTGAATAAAAATCGGAATATTTACAATGCAGATGCATTGAATACATTTAAGGATGTGGAAATATTTCCAAATACTGTTTGTTCGTTTTTTATTACACCAACTTACAAAGGTCTATCATGCTCAACAAAAGCACTTTCAAGAGCCTGCCAGCCCAAGACATTTTAAAATGCTATAATATTTACATGCATGATTCTTAAAATTAAATTTGGACTAATAATCAAGCTGGTTTAGTATTTAATTCAAAATGTACTTCAGAAGATGGAATTACTGAAAGTAAAATGGAAAGAGGAGCTCAAATGCACTCAAACATGCCACAAAATATGCTATTGTGCATCAGTTCCTCAGTGTACCTGTTGTAAATTAGATATGGTCTGGTTTCGTATTTTAGCATTCATTCACCAGGCAGATTTGGATTTAAAATTTTGGGAAAAGATCCCGTTACTTTAACAAGTTGTCGTAGGTGCTGATTTTATGCGTCCACATGTGGCTCAATCTATGGTATCTTTTATTGCTACCTTTTATGCATACATTTATATTCATAGAAATTGAAACGTGAACAGCCCTAATATTTAATAGCTATTCATCCCTTTCTGTTTGGACATCTCTTCTATGGAAGCCATTACTAATTGTGAGAACGGTGAATCTGCGGAATATATTTGCATGCAAAACCCTGGAGAAATCTATTGGAAAGAACAAGTGGCCCTCTGCCAAATTCCAGGATTTTTAAAAGATCCCAGTAGAGTTTCTGGCAGAAGGAAAGAAAATCCTTGTACAGAGGAAAAGCTCCACACCCATTGTCTATGCTCAAGATGTGCTAATGTGCAAATCTTAATTACTTTCCAGATTTGTTGATAGTTTTTTTGGAATGCATTCAAATGGTTTTTCAGGAGTAAGATGATACGAACATTTGAGTGGGTTAAGTGGAGATCAGCTAGTGACAGAAATATCTTGGTAAATTATTGTGGGTATTCTTTAAAATGCCAAGCTGGGCTGCAGATATTCAAAACCTGGTGGTTTCCCAGAAGAACCAATGATAGTCTTTTAATTTGACTTTCCCTTTGAGGATTGGCAAAGATTCAGGTAGCTTTGGAAACAATGAACCAATCATTTATGGAATATGGCAAATAATGAGTTAGGTCATAAAATATTTAGACCTTCCTGGAGTTGTTCAGAAAAGTACATATTAGAATTTTTTGTGTTTGTGTTTATGTTCATTAGAAAGGATTTTATTTTTTACTCCAGTTTCAGGTCACATATTCTGGAAGTGTTGCAAGTTGTATTTTTTCAGAATTAGATTAAAAACAACTGCAAGTGAACAATAATTTTGGCACATTTCTAAAATAAGGTGGACAGTTATTTTTAGCGTACTTTTACTTATTCATTTTTGGGATAATTATAAAAGAGGATTCACAGTTGTCTCATTAACAGTTGGGCCTCAAGTAACCTATAAAAACCTCTAAAAACCCAACCTATAAAAATATAATATTGCTTATTGAGATCATATCTTCTTACTTTCCTTTGTACTCTATCCTGGGGTAGTTAGTAGAGGACATCTCTCTCTCCCTCTCCCTCTCCCTCTCTCTCTCCCTCCCCTTCCCCCCCCTCCCTCCCTCCCTCCCTCTCTCTCTTCCCTTCCCCCCTCCCCCCCTCTCTCTCTCACACACACACATGGAAACTCAGAATACAAAACAAGGTTCTTTCAGAAAAATGGGAAAACTTTATTTGATGTGTTGGCAGAGAGGAGATGAGGTAAGATGTTTCCATAAAGTGTACACATGATGGTGCAGATGTATGTGTGCAAATTCAGAAGTAATCATAATCTCAAATATAAATGCAATAGATTTTAGTTTAGTTAGGAATAATATTCCTTGGTGATTGATCATGTTTGATAGATAACTCCAAAATCTCTGCTTTCTCTTCCTAAATAGGAAGGAATAGGAATAGAATATTCTTTATTGGCCAAATGTGATTGGGCACCCACAAAATTTGTCTCCTTAAAGATATTTTTTTTATCTTTAAATTGCCTGTTGATTTTAACTTTTGATAAAATTGAGCTATATATTTTATAAATATGGCCAGGATGCTGCCATACATGTATTTGTTGTCAACACTGAAATCCCCCAAAGCTTTGACAGTTGTTACTGATGAGGTGCTGCAGTCTCAAGAACAATTACCATATATGCCGGTGTATTAGGCGACCCGGCGTATAAGATGACCCCCGTCTTTATAGCCAGGCCGCATTCCTAGAACATCGTCTTATACGCCGGAAACTACCAGTATTTCCGGCGTATAAGACGACTCGGCATATAAGACGACCCCCGTCTTTGGCGCCGATTTCAGCGCTCGCGGAAGTTGTCTTATACGCCGGCATTTACGGTATGTGCATTTTAGAGACAATTTCTCAAATTTCTATCTTGCTTCTTTTTCTTTGCCACTAGTTTTCCTTTGTTGTCTTTGCTGTTGAGCATTGACCGTCAGTAGCTTAAGGAAAGAAATTATCTGTATGGTTCACATACCTTTCCAAGTATCTACCCATAAACCTGTGACTTTGTAATGCTTCAACTCTTGCATAACTAGCATAACTAGACTTATATTTTCTTTTTCAGGTTAGTAAGTCCCCTATATTTGTCCCTGGTGTTTGGGGACCCTATTATTCCGCAATGGTGCCAGGATTGTGGCTAAATGAAGGAGGTCAAAGTGTAACAGGGAAACTGGTAGGTCTAAATTTAGTTCCATTTACCATTTTATTTATAATTAAGTTACATCATTATCTTCACATTTGTTAAATGAAAACATGCAATAGATCATATGAGTTCAGTTGGATAATAATCGTTAGAATTATAAAGTTATGTGGCAGTTCAAACTTTGAAGTAATTTTAGTATATATAGCAGATCCATAGTAAGTTTCTCTATGTCAGGGGTGTCAAACTGCCGGCCCACGGGCTGGATATGTCACGCGGAAGCTGTGCCCACCTCATTGCCGGCAATGGTAAAACTGTCCCAATACGTTGTGTGACGTCACATGACATCGCGAGTTTGATATGACTGCTCTAAGTCATGGGAGAGAGGATGATAACTATATTTATCCCTCATGTGCCATAAGAAGTAGATTTGCCTTATTTACATTGTCATGAAATAGATTTTAGCTCTGGACTGAATTCTGTATGCAAAAGAAAGATAAAAAAGAAACTACTTTCCTGTTGTATCTTCTTAATATATTTAAGTATTACCTTATTTTTGTACACTGTCTTTCACATGCTGCCGAAGGAAGCATATACATGTTTCAAGTATATGAATACATTCATTAGTGAAGTTAAAGTTTCTTTGCTCTGGATCATTCCTATGAACTAATATTGGGTGACTTGGGATTTAAGGAATAAGATTTAACTTTATTCACAGAGATATTCATTTCAGTCATTGAGAGCTTCATTTTGTTTTGTTTTTAAATATGTTTGGGAATAGAAATTCTACTTATTTATTTATTATTAAATTTATATGTCTGGTACACCTTTGCTTGCTGATTCATGTGCTGAACTTGGGAGAAATGCCTGCTCTTGAAAGGAACTGCCGTTCCCTAATACTGATCCCTCAAGAATCAAGTTTGTATCCTCCTGGATGTAGTATTAATCCTGGCTAGCTACAACATTTAATGGAATGGAGGGCTCTTTATCAGCTTTAGCCATATCCTATTTGGAAGAAGAATATCTAGCTTCAGTGTCATTTTCTGATAACACTGAAGTTGGATTAGTTGCAATCATTCTTTTGGAGAACGGCCTGGAATATAGCAGTGTGTTTCCTGAAGTTCCCACTGAAACTGTGTGAAACTATTGTAAACTACTGATATAAAACTTGGATTCATCCTTTAGTTTAACCTCAGAACAAGTTGTTAGTGGATTGGACAGAGAGAAAATAACTGGCTAAACTTCCTAAGCTGCAGGACTGAGTAGAAATTTGAATTTATATCATCATCATCAGTTATAGATCAAGATTAAATTTATTTTTACGTTTTAGACTGTCTGCACAATTCTATATGTATCTACTGTAGGGTATTCCAGACTTATATAGTTTAATAGAATTTATGATATTCTTGAGATGTGTGTAGAAATAATAATCTGCTACATATTTCAAGTTTGCAGACATAAAATGCACATGTTATGGTTCCGGCTAATGAAACACTTCAAAGAACTTCCAGGCATTGATTTTCCTAAAAGTCTTTTTTATTGTTACAAAATGTCGGCACAGGCATAATGGAGGTTATGCTAAGATCTAAGTTCTCTTCCTCTGAGCAGTTAAATTATCAGCATGTTCCCTCCCTAAATTAGCTGTCATATATCACGTTATCCAATTAGTGTGAAGGTCAAAGGTTTCCTTCCTCTTTCTTTCCCGGGCTTTTCCCTCCACCCTCTTCTGCTCTGCGTTAACACCCAAAATACCAGACAGTTCTGCATATTGTCAAAGCAAGAATATATAGTATTTGCAGCATTGACAGCAGATACATATTGACTGTATTTAATGTTAAGGGACTTGTAAACAGTATATTGGGGAACAAATGAAAAGTCATTCTGTTGAAGGTTTGGGGCCTACATCACATTTTACAATTATAGCAGTAATTGCTATAGTTTGGATTATCTTGTACAAAAAAACAGTGTAAGGGATAATTGTAGTAAGGCCTTACTTTATTTAAAAAAAAATGACAAGTTTCAGTTCAGTGCTTATTTTTCTGCATATTGGTAGAATGCATAGTTGCTGAAACAAATCTGTCATCCAGGTAATCATACTTTAGAAATATATAACTACCTTCAGTCAAAAATCAATATTTTTTTTCCATTTTCTTTTCTTAAGATAGAGCATATTGTCCAAGGACATGCTGCTTTCCCGGAACTACAAACAAAATCTGAAGCCAGGTCAGGTCATAAACCTTATTTCTTCTTCATTTATTATTCTGTTTAGAAATTTCTTTTTGGCTGTAATACAGACAAAATACTTAGCCAGAATCTTCCAGCCTCATTTGGGATGTAGGTTGGGCTATGTTTCATATATACATGTCTGTCCAAATGTATTTATCCTCCCTATTTTAGCATATATTTTTAATACACCTGAGGAATGAGTCACATGCCTGTTTCTAAGATGCTGTCATCAACAGGAGTTGATTTTCTCTAGTCATGGCAGACTTGTAAAATATTTTTTGTGAATGCCTGGACAACAGTTCAGCCTAATTTTCATATGTTTAGTTTCAGTGCTTAGCTATGCATTTATCTTTGCAAAATTCCTACAAAAATCCATCTTTTAATAACGGTGCCATTCTCGGTGAGATGATCATGTCAAGAATTTAACCTTATAATCAAGCAGTTAGAAAGCTCTTATAATAATGTAAGCAATGGAAAGTTAATAGTTTGAGACTTAAAAATACTCACCCACACTCATTCATATGAATAATGTTACTCTACCAGAGGTAGGCAACTTGGCTCTTTTATGACTTGTGGACTTCAACTCCCAGAATTCCTGAGCCAGCATGGCTCAGCTTGGAAAACTCTCCCTTTCCCCTCAGCATGGCTGGCTCAGGAATTCTGGGAGTTGAAGTCTACAAGTCATAAAAGAGTCAAGGTTGCCTATCCCTGCCCTAGTCTCTCCTTCTAAAAAAATTAAATAGAACCTTTGATTTTTTTTCCACTAAATGGTGCTCACCACTAATCAAAAGGGATGTACTCTGGTATTTATCTTGTTTATCTCACAGAAAAGAACGTTTTTAGCTTTTACAAAAGAGGAAGAACTCAGTGAAAGTCTCTTAATAATCAAACAAAAGCATTTGGCCGTATTTTTTTTTTTATTAAAAGTTTTATAAATTTTACAAAAAAGAAAAAAGAATACAAAACAAGAGACAACATATACAAAAAAAATAAAACTAAACAATACATATATATATAAAAAAAAAAAAACCCACCCCTCCCAAAAAACCCCCTCCCTCCCTTCCCCCCCCCTGAGCTTCCCAGAGCAGAATATAGGCTTAAGAAGTAAAAATAAAAATTAAATTAAAAACTTTATATTTATATATATAAAAAGATTATCTATAATATATATGAAAATAAAACTTATGAAAAAACTATATAATATTTTTGTGTACCCAATCTAAATTGTATAAATTTTATCCATTTATCACAAACAGCAAGAAACTTCTCTTGCGTTTGTTGCTTTAAGAAAGCCGAAATCTTTGCCATTTCCGCCAGATAAGCTACTTTAAGAAACCATTCCTGCAATGTAGGCAAAGATTCCTTCTTCCAATATTGTCCTACTAACAGCCTAGCGGCTGTAATCAAATTTAACATCAAAACAACCTCCTTTGTATCACAATCTGTAACAATACCTAACAAAAATAATTGCGGAGTAAATTTTACCTCCTTCTAAAAATTCTCTGGATATTCCACCATATTTTGATCCAAAATGCTTTTATCTCTCTGCATGACCACCAAATATGATAATAGGAAGCCTCCTTATAACCACATCTCCAACATTTGGGTTGCACGTCAGGGTACATATAAGACATTTTTTGTGGATCAATGTGCCATCTATAAAACATTTTATAAAAATTCTCCCTTAAGTTCTGTGCTTGTGTAAATTTGACATTTCTCACCCAAATATTTTCCCAGGTGTCCAATGAGACTGGCTCACCAAAATTCTGCGCCCATCTTATCATACAATCTTTAATTAGTTCCGTTTCTGAATCCAATTCAACTAAAACCGCATAAATTCTCTTAATGTGGGTTTGTCTTGAATCCTTCACTTGCTTGATAAGATTTTCATCTTCTCTAAGAAAACCCACCTTACAATCCATCTTCCATCTGTCTAATAATTGCCTATATTGGAACCAAGAATAAATAAAGTTTTCTTGTGCTAACTCTTCCCGTGATTTTAATTGCCAGTTTTGTCCATCCCATTTAAGTAACTGTCTGTAAGACACCATATCCATTTTAACCCCTCTTTTTATTGCTTCTATCGCATGCCAAGGTATAGCCCATAATGGTACTTTGAAATCACTTTTATAATATTTTCTCCAAATCCTAAGTAAAGAAATTCTTAAGATATGAGATTTAAAAGCCCAATCCATTTTTTTATTGAATATTAAATAGGCATGCCACCCATAAAGTAAATCCCATCCCTCTAGATAAAGTATCTCAGAATTTGTCAAATTTACCCAATCGCTGATTAGTGTTAAAACCACCGCGTCATAATATAATTTCAAATTTGGTACCTTAAGTCCACCCCTCTCACGGAAGTCTTGCATAATTTTAAACTTAACCCTTGGCTTTTTCCCTGCCCAGATAAATTTATTAAGACCCTTCTGCCACTCATTTAAATTAATCTCATTTTTCAAAATTGGTAACATTTGAAACAGAAAAAGAAACTTGGGTAAAATATTCATTTTTATCACTGCAATTCTTCCCATGAGGGATAATTGCAACTTTTCCCAGTTCTTCAAGTCCTTCTGTACCCTGACCCACAACCTTTCATAATTATTTTTAAATAATTTTACATTAGAAACAGACAACATCACCCCCAAATATTTTACCTTATTAACAATCTCAAAACCCGTCAGGTTAGTCAAAATCTGCTTCTCCTGACTAGACATATTTTTAGGTAAAATTTTGGTCTTATTTACATTAATCTTGAAACCCGAGACCAAGCCATAATGATGAATCAACTGTAATAAGTTTACTACAGAATAATCAGGTTGCGACAAAGTAACAACCAAGTCATCCGCAAAAGCTCTTAACTTATATTCTTTTTTATTAACATATATTCCTTTAATTTCCTGAGACTCTCGAATTTTAATCAATAATATTTCCAATGTTAAAACAAACAACAATGGCGATAAAGGACACCCCTGTCTAGTACCTTTCTCTATTGTGAAAACCTCCGAAAGACCTCCATTAACAATAAGTTGTGCTGTTTGTTTTTGATATATTACCTTAAGGGCTTGTAATATGTTTTCACCAAAATTCATTTCTTCCATTACTCTTAGCATAAAATGCCAATTCAATTGGTCAAATGCTTTTTCAGCATCTAAAAATATGAGCCCTGCAGGAACTTGGTTGTTCTTATCTAAGTATTCTAATAGATTAATAATTTGTCTAACATTGTTTTTCATATACCTTCCTGTTATAAACCCTGATTGATCTTTATGCACAAGATGATGCACCACCCTCATAAGCCTATTTACCAAATTTTTTACAAATATCTTATAATCCACGTTTAAAAGAGATATAGGCCTATAATTTTTTGGTAAAGTAAGATCTTGATCCTCCTTTGGAATCAATGATATAAAGGCACTACGCCATGAAGGAGGAATCTCTAAACCCTGTAAGATACCATTAAAAAGATCATTTAATGGTTGGATCATCTCCTCCATTAAAGCTTTATAATAAACAGCTGTTAACCCATCCGTACCCGGTGCTTTCCCTAATTTCAATTGTTGAATTGCTGAGGCAATTTCCTCCTTAGTAATTAAGCCATTAATTTCATATTTCTGATCCTCAGTCAGTTTAGGAAAACTTGCCTCAGCTAAATATTTATTTATATCTAACAATTGTACATTAGTAGATTTATATAAGTTTTGATAATAATCCAAAAAAGATTTTTTAATTAATTCCTTCTGAGAAACTAGTTTACCCTTGTAATTTATTTTCTCTATTATTCTCTGTCTCTGTTTCTTTCTTAATTGATAAGCCAACCATCTCCCCGGCTTATTAGCATTACAAAATGTATTTTGTTTCATAAATAATAAGTTGGTTGCAGCTTGATCTGCTATCAACATATTAAATTGTGACCTTAATAACTTTACAGATTCTTTAGTACTTTCATCAGAAGGATTTAGAATCAAAGCCCTTTCTTTTAATTTAATTTCATCTTCAAGTTCTCTACGTTTCTGAATCTGATTTCGCTTATAAAAATTATTCATTTTTATCAAAACACCGCGCATAAATGCTTTACCTGCATCCCATACCATTGACATTGAAGTCCCCTTGTACATATTCAAAGCAAAATAGTCCTTTAAACACTCCTTTAATTTTTGAACATTCTTCTCTTGTCTAAACAAATTTTCATTAACTCTCCAGGATCTTCTTTCCTCTTTCTCTTGAATCAGCTCCATCCAAACTGGACTATGATCCGTCAGTGATCTAGGAAAAATCTTTACATTCTTTACTTTATTATACAAGTCCGTGGTAATCAAGAAAAAGTCAATTCTTGAAAAAGATTGGTGTCTATCAGAAAAAAAGTAAAGTCTCTCTCCTCTTGGTTACGTTCCCGCCAATAATCCCTTAATTCCCAGTCTTCTTTCATATCAAAAAAGGCTTTAGGTAGCCTTGCTTGTTTAAGAAAAGGAGAGGAACCTTTCTTGTCCTTTGTATATCTAAGACACCATTCCAATCACCCATTAATACCACTGATCTATAATCAAGCAATGTTATTTTTTGATGTAACTGCTTATAAAATTGTTCCTGTTGTTGATTTGGAGCGTAAAGTCCAACTATAAGTATTTTCTTACCATAAATACCAAGTTCAATCATCACATATCTCCCCTGGGGATCTGATTCTACCAGACAAGCTGGTAGGTTTTGTTTAACATATATAACAACTCCCCCTTTCTTCCCAGGAGCAGAAGATATAAAATGAGATCCCAAACGAGCATTAACTAAATATTTCTGATCTTTAAGTAAAATATGAGTTTCCTGTAAGCAAATAACATCATTAGTATGTTGCTTCAAATAATAAAAGATTTTTTTGCGTTTCTGAGGAGAATTCAATCCATTAACATTCCAGGTCAAAAACTTTGCCATCTCCCTTGGCACGCAGCCTGGAGAAGACACCATCAAACTCTGAAAGAGCTGCGTGTGTTGCATAACTCTTG